GTAATGCGTACTTTATGACGAAACCACGGGAGAAACACGTTTTTTTAACAAGAAAATTAACTTTACTATTTGAACCACCAAGTCAGCTTAGTTTTTGGAACTGCCCCTTATACAAGATCTCTCACGGAAAGTGAACTTTCACAAGGCAATAACATAAAATTTTTGGCAAATTATGGCGAAAGTATTAAGCAGACTAGTGTAGAGTATTTAATAGACCGCGTTGCTCGCCTACAATGGTTTAAGCTTGTTTTACTTTCAATTAAACTTTGCTTTCAACTAACTCATTGTAAGGCTAATTTCACAGATACTGCTTCTTCTTTTTCGTTGTTATATATATATATATATATATATATATATATATATAGCCCATATTGTAGCTTCTTCGATTACTTACCATATAACAGCTTATTTTGAAAAATCGTCATATGAACAAATGTATTAGCAAAGTGGTGTAAGATATTCAATAATGGGTCATGTCCTACTATAGCGATTGTTTTGTGTTTCATTCTAAAAATGTTAAGCATTAAAAAAAGCTAAAATTTCCTTTCTCTTTTTGCTATATTGGCTTTTTGCAAAAGATGAAGTTTGCAAAGCAGTTTTCGTGCAAAGCACGCTTGCGATCATAAGAACAGGAAGGCGAGAATGTACGAAAAATATCGAGAATTTTTTTTCAAAAATATCTGATATTTTTTTTTCTTAAAGGCTTAGAATTGAAATGAATCATAATTGATGGATGGACTATCTCGTCCACAATATATACAAGAAATAGTTTCCAGTTATATTCAAGATATTCAAAATTCACTCACTTTAATTCTCACTCAATATTTTCTAGAAATTGTTAAGCAATTTTTAGTTTCTCTGCAATTTCTTTAAAAATTCATAAACAATACCGAATTGTTATCCGAAAAAAAGAGGTAAATGAAAGCTGCTTTCTGTTTAGAATGTTTTAAGTGAGATTTTAAAGCGTTTTATACGACCGCACACAAGGCCAACCAACAACTTTTAGGGTAATAAAATTTCTCAATTTTGTAACCAACTAACGAGACCTTAATTTCACTTTGCATTGCAACCACATCTGGGTAAAATAATAATTATGGGCAATTAATTAAAAATTTCGGTTATGATTTGTGTGGAACAGCAACGCAGACAAGCACTTACATAGAAAATTAAGTGAATAATGCAAAACATATGAATAGCGATGAACAGATGTATGAACTAGACTTGAAATAATAATAATAATAATAATAATAATAATAATAATAATGACAATAACATTAGACACAACAATAGAAGCATAGAACAGATATTATTACATTCTCAATTAACAGAAACAGAATTCTAATAGTATGGAATAACCATCAAGAACAAGCTACTAAATATGGTTCATTGCTTCATTCTGAGAACAGCAACAATGGATAACAATGCATGAATGAATGCATGAATAGTACACATATGAAATAAAAGTTTGTGATTCTTAGTAAGGAAAATAAAGGGAATAAAAAAGAAGAGAGGAAATGAACAAAACAAGAAAACGGTATGCACGAGCAGCAGTACAGATGAGAAGAAAAAAATTTTATTGTCCTATAAAATGTGTAACTTTATGAAAATATCCACAACATGCACCAGCCAAGTCAGGCAGATTGTTGCAATTGAAAGCATCACCTTACATACATATTTGTATGTTGGTTTTGATAATTGTTCGGTATAACTAGTAACTAGTTTTGTTATTGTTGTTTTATTTTCGTATTGTTGTTATGTCTTGCATTGGTGCAAAGATAACACAAATACTGTTGTTGTTTTTTATTTCTGTTTTTTTCGCTTTTCGCTCATGTTAACTCATGTCCGCAACACAATCAACAGCATTGGAACGGAAACGGAAAACACCATATAAAATTTAAAAAGCTGAGCGTTAAACATTAAATGATATTTAAAAAGCAAAAAAAAAAAAAAAAAACAAGTAAAAATAGTCTTAAATAAAAATGAAATGTCTGGGTTATCCCTTAACTGTATGGTATGGTTAAATAGTTAACATGTCCTTTTCTTTTTTCGCTCAAATATCACACCATTCAAATAAGTCTCCGGACACCGGTAGCTGAGAAAACCAAATTGATTTTTTTTGGAAATTCATCTTCATTCATCTCATTCAAAAGTTATACCTTTATCTTAACACGTTTACACTTACTTTTCGATGCAATTTATTTTCAAAACAGTTAGTTCTCAGTTTCGGCCATCAATTCTTTACGTGACACAATAGTCACTTAGGTCCCATTTTATTTAGTTTATACATTAACGATTTCCCATCGGTGGTTAATTCCAGCCAGATCTTAATGTATGCTGATGATGTGAAATTGTTTTCTTCCTTCTCTGTTGAATCGCAATCACATCAGCTTCAAGGTGATTTGGGTAATTTTGTTGCATGGTGCTCTTTGAATCTTCTGAAACTAAATCTGAGTAAATGTAAGAAGCTTTCATTCTCAAGAAGAAAGTCATTCATTACTCAGTATTTTATTGATGCGCATAAGTTGGAGGACGTCGATTCGATTACAGATTTAGGCGTTCTATTTGACCATAGGTTACGTTTTAACTTGCATATTGAACTCTCGATTAGCAAAGCTAGGTCCACGCTTGGTTTTATAAAAAGGTGGTCTAAAGAGCTTGATGATCCCTACATTACGAAAAGGCTGTACATGCGTTTGGTCAGACCCATACTCGAGTATGCCTCTGTTGTGTGGTCTCCTTCATATAGGTGCTACGTAGATTCAATTGAATCTGTTCAAAAGCAATTCTTGCTGTTTGCCCTTAGAAATTTGGGTTGGGATCCGATTGCCCCTCTTCCTCCGTATGAAAATAGGTTGCTTCTGCTGTCCCTACCGCCTCTGGAGGAACGTAGATTTGTTCTTGGCGTTTCCTTTCTAATTAAAGTAATAAATGGTGCCATTGACTCGCCTTCATTACTTGGTGAAATAAGCTTTAATGTCCCTAACCGCTTCTCCAGGCACTTTATCTTGGTTAAGCTTAATCAGTGTAAATTTAATTATGAGCTGTTCAATCCGCTTGGAGTCGTTTGCAAGAACCTAAATGACGTCTACTACATATTCTCGTTATCGGACTCTTTAAAGTCCATTAAAGCAACATTGCTTAATACGTGCGATTTACCTATGTCGTATTTAA